CCAGTTGTATGGTTGCGACTTCTTTTATCAGTGAATTCCCATGGCGGTGGTTGCTTACGATTGCCTTGGAATTATTTGAAATCAAGGTTCAAGAGGATAAATCCTAACATCCAGTTTATCAAGTTTCTGAAAAACATGATTAAATACGTTCTTTATATGCTATATATTTACGGATCGACGTGCTGACCTCTTTTTTCAGAAAGAAGACAGGGAGAGGCGATAATTGAAGGGATGCGCTTACTATAAATTAATAGTTGAAAAGGGTGACGTAACCCAAGCATTTAAAGTATACCTATGAGGCTAATACACAAGACGTGGACGCTTCTTAGTGGAGGCAATTTGGCGTTCGGACTTCTTGGTAACAGGGAAAAATCAGCCTTTATGTTCAGTTTTCACGTCAATCTCCTTCCCGCCTTCCTTTACGAACAAATTTTTATCGAGAGAGACATCTGGGTATGAGGCACTCACCATAGCATATTTAATAAGGACAGCTTCCTAACGAACACATTCTTTTCCAGTGTTTAGCGCGTTTTGGCGATGATGTAGGCGGTGGCAAATTCAACAATGGCAGAGCATATGTGTTCGGTTCAATTATCTTTATCTGCCGATGGAACTCAGGTCCACATTCGCTAACATGCTTAATAAAAAGCATACCCATTACATCGTGCACTATTACACAAACTATATCCATGGCCTACTCTTACATTATGTAGTATTAATTACAAGGTGATCGAATACACGTACTTAAACATTAGTAGGAACTGTAAATGCTGACCTCTTTTTCAGAATGAAGAGAGGGAGAGGCGACAATTAAAGGAGTGCGCTCACTTTTTTGAAAAGAGTATCCTAATGCAAGCATTTGAGTGCCTTAATGACGCTAAAACAGAAGACCTGGACGCTATTTATTGAAGGTAATTTGGCGTTCAGGCTTCTCGGGAAAATCAGCTTTCATGTGTACTTAAACATTAGGTAGGAATTATACCGTTAAATACAGGTTGTTAAATCCATTAAAAGAGCTAGTTATATCTTCTTTGCAACAAATTTGGAAAAAAGTCAGCTCCAACGAATCAAAAGATGCTTGACTCTTTCACTACAGGAATCGGTGTTAAGATCTGGAACTCAATTCCACCCCCAATAAAACTATTTACCCGAACCAAATGTCGGAAAGTGATCAAGTCGAGTTTTCTTGAAGACTTCCTGCAGTCTGAAGATGACTATGTTAAAGTCCCTTCCCCGTTTTATTGAGCTTATCTCTTCCCTATCATCGTTACCCTCATAGTTATTTAGCTCTATTACCACAATAATTTTAAGAATTCTCTTTCTCCTGTTTATAGTGTTTTCTTTTTATAGCGTTCTCTTACTTTTCTTTGATTTTTCTCTTCTCTTCCCTTCTTTTCTTTCTTTCTGCTCTTTTTGTGTGTGTGTGTGTTTGTGTGTTATTTCTTATAACCAGTTTGATTGTAAATATAATTGTAAACTATTATTGTCCCGCCTAGAATAGCATTTTTGCTAATTGTGTGGACAAGATAACTGTAACTTTTTGCACAAAATTCATTAAAGATTGTTGTTTTTTGTTATGATGTTAACAATTATTTATGGCCGGCTAATGTTAATGTCAAGTCAGACATGGGGACAGCGTTCATAAAAGATCTTTCATACCAAAACGTTTGTCTGGGGGTATTTTCGTGCACATTTGTTCAGGCAAACGAGACTTGTAGGGGCGGAGATAGTTTAATAATAGGCACGATGCTGATGGCCAATTGCTTGATTTAAATTAGAATCGTTTGGAATTAATTTTAAAATATTGTAACTGCCATATGAATGTTTGCTTTTGAGCCGAACAAGAGCTTGTTTAGGCGCAAACATATACAGAGACGGTGAGGACCGTGTTGAGCGAACACGAAAGCGATGAAGAGCAGGGGAAGAGCTGTGAGGTTTAAAAGTGCACAAACATATCGTTATGGCTCGGAGTCAAAAAAGAACAAGCGTCAATGATTGACAAAACCAGTTTTTAACTTTCCCAACGATGCATTAGGACTGTATCTTTAGACATAAAAATCTTTATTAATTCAACAACAGTCGCAGCGTATAAATTTATGTCAGGTAATAGCAACTGTCGCACAAAAAAGGCTATTTCCGCATTCTTCTATATGGCTTATCCTTGACATCACACATTTTTTGCGCTTAGCATGTATACTATATCAAAAACATTAACTTTACCTCATTCAAATTGAACGCATAGCAAATCTGTTTTTCCCTCGAACAGAGAGAAATTGCAAATTACAAGATGTATCATCATGTAGTCGAATGATTTAAATCATCACAGTCACAACTCGAATTAATATAATGAGTATTATATTGATCACTGAAGTATATTTAGGTATTCTTGTCACTAAAATCAGTAATGATTTTAAGATGAGTAAATCTAAGAATACAGTGGATATAATCGAGAGGCATGGAACATGACGTGTATGGGTAACAGTTTTGTACCGTTTTCAAAGTTGTTGATGGGAGTTCGCAAGTTTACGAAAGCGTGCGACATAATTATACAGCTGCACATAATTTTTGCGGGATGCATTAATACAGATGCAAGATTTAAAATATCTATTAAGGCAATGCATATTGCCAGGAAAGTTGTGAGGTCACCCCTGTCTTAAAACTCCCCAAAGTTTATCATGAATGGAATGCAAGTAAACGTTGACTGCAGCACTCCAGACATAACAAGAGTATGCGCAATTTTTTCACGGTTACGGAACGTTTGCAACAACATTAAAAGTTGATATAAAAACATAAGTGTTTAGGAGAACATACAGCATCTAACTCCCCTAGAGGGATTCCTTGGGCTTTGGACTCATTCCTGTTATCCAAACGTTTTTGAATTTCCGGACGTGAGATTTCGGCCTTGATTGTATCTTTCAGACGGCTTAATACAATACCCCTGTTTAACGATGTTATGGGGAATGGAGGGTGGGGGTAATGGGGGGGCGGGTAAGCATAAGCTGTGTACATATGGGGAGGAAATGACAGGATCTCGGTAGGCTGGCACTCCGTCATACGCAAAGATCACACACTCGTCGGGATCCATATTTGTACAAGGGAGTAATCCTGGGTGGGGGGGGGGGGGGGGACTCCCTTATATAAGCTACATACGTGCCGCCCCATCGGGTAGGGTTTTTGCGTCGTTTTGGTCTGAAAACGAATATACACTTTGCCCATTTTGGTCTGGAATCGGGTATGGTTTTTGAAGGAACTACGGAAGTGTATGAACGTAGTTTTTGTTTCAATTCCAAATGAGTAAGAAAGAAAGAGAAGTATGCGAATTCGAAATGCCGTCACTTTTTCTTGCTGACATATGAAACTTTTGAAGGCATTTGTTTAGCTCTTGCGGGGAAATTTCTTCAAAAGGGGTTGTGAATTGCTTTTGTATTTAACATCATTCTGTGAAAAAGAGTATTAAATTTAGTTTTGAGCTTATTAATGAATAAGTCAACTAAATAAAGTGAGAAGACTTAAGCTCAATTTGCATTTGTAAACAAAAAAACCTTTTTCACCGGTTTCATCGCTAAATTCAAGTCATAAAGACAAAGCTTTTCCTGTTAAAACTTCCAAACCAAAGTTCGTCACCTTTTTCATGTATTTCGGGAACAGCTTGCTTGATTATTTGTGAAATTTCTTTGTTTGTTACAGCAGGAAACCAGAAAGGCATTTCGCTCGCAACTTACGCGAGTTTGGCGTCGCTCGCTCGGAGGAACTGGTGGTGAATCAGTGAAAAGTGCAGGATACTCACTGATTGAGTAGCCAATCAGAGCGCGAGAAAAACGCTATCCATTATTTTAGTACATACTAAAATACGAGACTGTGCAAATCGTAATAACTTTGTCTTATCTCAGAGCTTTACATGATGCTCTCCGGGAAACTTTTCTCAAGGTGACCAATATCTAAAAGTAAACTGCAAAACGGCACCGAAACCAACTTCAGGCGAGCACTGATTTGAAATAACTGTCACTTGTGTTAAAGAGAGAATTGTGGGTAGGGACAAAAATAAAATAGGGAGGGAGGGGGGTGGGTAAGATAGTAATTCTGTCTACATCCACTTCCACACGAATCCCTAACCACAAAATAGGCATAGACAAAAGACATATGCAAACAACGCTAAACAAGCTATTAGACAGGGGAAGTTGAGAAAATTACAAAATTTTTGCTTACCCGGTTTTCATAACTCCAGGTAGATATACAATGTCCTCTTCGAACGCACTGCCAAGTGCACCACTTGAGAGAATCTATCCAGAGTTGCCGCCTGACAACTTTCGGTTGTCTCGAATAGGCGACGTTAAAAAACAAATTTCTGAAGAAATTGAGAACTACAGAAAAGTCGCCAAAAAATACAAGAAAGCTCAAACCGCCATCATTACACCGCTGTCGGTTTGGTCTCTCTCTCGGCCGCTCTCTCAACCACTGGCGACACCTTTAGCTTTATACTGGCCCTGGAATTATCGTCGGTGCACCTCTTGGGGCTGTTGTAGCATTTTGCGGTGCCGGAGTCAGTACGCTTGAATTTCTACTCTTTTACGTGACGTGTGGCATTTACATGGTGTGCGAGAGCGGCTGTCTTGTTGGTTTTAAAAAGCATAGTATTTGAGGGGTATATTTCCTGAATGGTTTTCCTGCTTCCGCAATAACTATCCTGCAAAGTATTAATGTAGCCTCACTTATCTTCCTACATCGCATTCCACCAAAGTAGAGTTCCCAATTGAACACACTTTAAGCATTTCTTCATCACGTCTTATTTCATTTTATTTTTTTTTTTTTTTTTTTTTGGGGGGGGGGAGCTTCCTTAACATATAGCCTAATGTAGCTTTAAATGTGCTTCTATGTATGTTTTTACATGTTTTTTTTTTTTCTTATATAGCTATTTACCAGGTTGACTAATTACATTTTGCGATATCCCTCCATTAGTAACGATTCAGCGGGATAGCAACATTTTCTCTTTGATGACGTCT